AGCAGGGACAGCCTCATATCCCATGTAAAGGTTTCCTTATTTCATCCTAAATGCAGTAGGGAGCCATTGACAGATTTTGAGGAAGAATGTGGCATAATCAGATATGTACTTTAGGAAGAATTTGCAAGAAACCATGTGAAAAACAGCCTGGAGCAGAGTGAGAGCAGTCAAGAGACTAGTCCAGAAAGAAAAGCAAGGGACAGGGACACATCCTAAATAAAGGGTGCAACAAGAATGATGGGGATGTACCTCAGTTGGCAGAGTGTCTGCCTTGCATGCACAAGGCCCTGGGTTCAATTCCCAGCAGGAAGGAGAAAAAAAAAACAATAAACAGTACAACAAGAAAGATAAAATATAAAGCACCAAACTGTCCATTCTTGGAGATAAAAAAAATAGACTGAAAATGACATGGATGATCTTGGCCTTCATGTTCAAGAGGTAAAATATTTAGACATGTGAAATGCTAATTAAACCACGAAGTAGGCTATGATGTGTGCACTGAGTGGCCCAAAGGACAGCACAAGGCAGAAGCCACTGCAATAATCCAGAGACCAGGAAGATGGCTGGAGCTGGTATTTGTGCATCTGGGATTGGAGGGCTGGGATTCTGTTACTGAAGTAAGAAACTGTCCTAAACAACAGGAATGATTCATGGAAAAGTCCAGAACAAAGTAGCCAGGCCTAAAAGAAATGGACAATGTTGATAAGCTAAGGTGGAAAATAATTTAGGAGCAATTGGGGAGGATCTTCAGAGGCAGAATGAAGGGGTTCAGGAGAGATTAGGCTTGATTCTACTCAAAATGGAGGTCCAGGATGGTTTGTTTGTGGGTCATAATGAGGGTTCTGGAAAAAAGAGATCTATCAGAAAGATTTAGCTGGTGATGGTGTTTAAGATACAAGGAGCACAAAGCACCTGGAAGGAGATAAGGTCACTTAGGAGGCTACTGCAAGAACTCAGTGCAACTGAGAGGAAAGGAATGGAGAAAAAAGTCTTCATAAGAGGAAGATCTTTGGAAATCAAATCGTCTGCCACCTCCTTAATCTCTCATTTTCAAGAAGTTGCATGTGCTAATTCCACAATCATGAGGCATCTTCCCAAAGCTTCTCTCCAGAAGGTGCCATCTTATAACCACAACTCTTGCATTAGCCATGCACAAATCATTACTGGTCTGGGACATATTTGTTCCTTTAAGTGACTGGGGTTAGAAAATTGAGGATAAAAAAGAAGAGATCGGCCTTTGAAGTTCTGCCCTACATGGAAAAATAAAGCAAAACCAGGTGTAAAGTAAACCACGAATTGGAAAGGACCAAGAGGTCATTTTCCATACGTTGTTCTCATGAAAGTCTAAGTATTCCTTCTGGAAATCCTTTCCTTTGGTAGAGATTGTTCAGAGCATCTTATTGAATGCTATATGTCAGAGTGATCCAAAGATGAATGAAGTATTCATCCATGTGTTAGAAATTATAAGAAAAACACAGACTATTGCTCTATTGCTTTTTTTTTCACATATTTGATCTCTGATTTAAAGATACTGCTACTGACGGATCCACTATATTGCTTGGGACTGCATCCACTATATTGCTTGGGGACTGCACTGGAGTTACTGGTTGCAATGAGTTGGAGGCAAGGTACAGTCCATTAAAACAACATAGAGATTCCCTCAGTAAAACGACGAGTCTTCAAGGGCTCACATCTTAACAATTCACCTCATAATTAGTCATTTATGTCAATCAGCCCAGTTATAACACATATATTACCATTCTATTCTCTTTTTAAACTACTTAGTGTATTAGACTTGACTACTCAAAATCAGAAGCTTTCATATGAAATTTTCATTAGTTATCAAAGCTGTTTCTTGTACATGGGAAAAAATTAGAAGTCTGTTTCCATGTTAAATGCTATTCTAATTCCTACATTTCTCCCCTTAAAAATTAAAAAAAAAAAACTTTTAATGTTTGCTGAATATAAAAAGAAAACCTCCTATGTCAGTTGTTCAGATTCATATAAGACCTAATTGCCTCCTACAAGATAATTTTGCCACCCGTTTACAATTAACATGCATTTCTCATGCATGAGTTGACCCAATTACATAACAAATTTTGCCTTTGGGGATTTCTCTTGACTGCTTGTCTTCTGTCCACCGTACAACTCAATTTCACACTGTCAGCAGCCTGAACATGGTTACAGTCAGTCTCTGTCAAAATGATTTATTTAAATTACAAACAGAGACCAAATCCCTAGATAATCATCTCTACCCTCACATGCTCACCCTTACATTCAACCTAACTTTGAATCAAATCTTTTAATAGTCTGTAGACACTGTATTCAATTATTACATAATGTTTAGTTCTAATAATCTAATATTTCTGAAGCTAACTCATAAAATTTCAGGAAACTAAATCAGCAGTATCAATGCAAACTTATTAACGGGCATATAATTTATTTTAAATTCCAAGAAGTCAATTAAAAATTATGTGGTTGTTATCAAAAAACAGTTAAAAGTAATTACACTTTAGGATCAAATTACTGAAAGATTTTTTTCTATAATGTTAAAAAAAACCTCTAATCTTAGCTTTTCTTGTAAAGCAAGCAAGAATTTCTTATTTAATGGATACACTTGATGGAAAATGATAGCAAAAAAGGGTATTTAGGAAACAGGATGTATAACCAAAATTATAGACAAGGCAAAGAATACAACAATGGTAAGAACACTGATCAAAGAGGGTACTGCCAGACACACAGCAGAGTCATGCAAAAACACTTCCTGTGTGTATCAAGGACAAGCACAAATCCTGACGAATCAAATAATGATCCACTTACTATTTCAGTCGGTCTGTAAAATATATCATTTTCTCATTGGGTATTTTTCCCTTTTTCACCTGATATTCTTCTTTCCCCAAAAATAAATGAGAAAATAAACACCTAGTTTTTACCCACAGCACAAAGTCTGTAAAAGTCTCCTGGGGTTTGACTTTACCATTTTATATCACAATTGATCCCCAGGCTGTCTCAGCTAATTGAAAGTGCAGCTTATATGGGTGTGTAAACAGGCAGAAGAAAATGCATCAATAATCTCTGTCAGGCTACACTGGGTACCTTGGATGCCTGGCAAGGATGCTGCTACACCATCCTACTACGGGCACCTGGGGTGTGCTACTTACAAACCTGAAGGTGAACCACTCTAAACTAGAGAAATGCCTTTAGAATTACCCACACAGATTAGAGCTAGAATAACAAGAGATAAAAAGTTTTATAAAAATCCCCAAGGGCATAGCATTCCTCAATTCATATTTGTACACTGTCCTTCAAGAACATTTTCCTAAAACACTATTAAAGGAAATGCAAAGATGGGGCTGGCCATGTGGCTTCATGGTAGAGCACGTGCCTAGCATGCACAAATCTGTGGATTCAATCTCGACACTACAAAAAATAATAATAGGAACAAAATAAAATGACCCACAGAATTTGGGACCTAGAGGGAGGAGATGGTTAAGTGATTTAGCTATGAAAATCTGTTGACGCTGTCCACAAAGGCTGTCAGGCTGCATTCTGTTGAAGTGATGCATCTGAAACAAAATCGGAACTTCTAAATAATATCTTTAATTAAATGGTTTGACTGGATATCCTGATTTCCCATAAAAATCTGTTTGCAAGTCCAATACTCTATTTTCATAAATAACCACTATTAAACTCTACCTGAATAGTAATATTTTGAATAAGATGAAGACAATCTTGTAGAACAAAATTGGAAAATAAAAGAACAATTCTTTATTTCAGAAGCCAAGTTCTATTTCTTCCCAACCATTAAATGAATTCTAAAATCATACCTCTTCTCTTTTTCTTTCTATAGCTATTCTGGGTAACGTAGCAGAAGAATTTTAAATTGCAGGATTTAATAAATCTCCCTTGTTCAATACGCTGTCATTATAGGTTCCATAAGAAAGAAGGCAGGGCTAACCCACTCTCACCTCTTTTATTACACACAATTTGAAATTTATAGTTGTACTTTATCCCACACTTCAGTAACATATGCAGGCTGAGGGGGCATATCCCAATGATTTCAAATCCTACCCAAATGAATGTGAAAGTGACTGAAAAAAAAATTCATAACACTGACACAGACACAAGCAATCAAAAATGCCCATTCATCCATAACATATTACCCAAAACACCTAGGAGTTGTCACTGCTCTATGTCTTTATACTTCCATTAGTCCAAGGGGGACTAATGGCAGTTTAGAATGAGCCATATAATATTTAAAGATAAAATGGACAAAAAATATATAAGAACATGGAACAAAGGGGGAAATAAAGATCATGAAGACACTTTAGTTAACCCACCTAGATCAACACTTTTGCACTTGGAGTTCTAATTAAGACTCACAAATCTCACATCCCTTACAATGTTCAAGATGAGTCAGCTCCCTCCCAGCATCTCCAGCAAGAAGATACTAGAGTTTTCCCAGTCTAGATACTTTCGTACCTTCTTCCTCTTAAAACAGACACCAGGCCACTGTCAAACCTATCTGGGTTCGAGCCAATATTGTTCCCCGGGTGTGGAAAACCAGACTAACCAAAGTATGACTTTTCAGATCAATCCCCAATTTCTTACAGGAAAAGATCTTTTAGTAATATGGAAAACCCAGTGAGGTAATGGGAAAAGTTTATGAAGTTAGAAGCTTAGAAATGAATAATAAATTTTCTAGACCTCAGAATAATTGACAGCCTCCCATTCTCAGGAGTAGGTCTTGAACAGTAACATTGTGAAATCTATGTATTTTTTACTGTTACCCAAATGTTAAGAAGCCTCAAAGTGACTAAAAGAAGTCTGCTAAGGTTGCTAACATCAAAACACAGCAAAAAATAAAATATACATATATATATACACATATGTCTAAATTATATGCTTTAAAAATTTAGCATTCTCTAAATTATAGGCTTAATCTAATTGGGGCTTTATATATAATGCTATGTATATGATAAATATAGATTAATACATACCTGCGTCATAAGGCATCTTTGCATATTTAAGAAGGGATCTGGCTACGACCTCTGGTATTGAATAAAATGTATATGCCTGCTAATGATAAAGGATGGAAATGTGATCAGTTCTGTTCTAGTTAAATATGAATATTGACTTAATTTGAATATAAATGAAAAGGCTTACCTTGGAATCCACTGCAATCTTTCCAGTAGCTGTCATGTAGATGTCTTGAGTAGAAATGTTGGATTCTTTTTGAAATAAATTTCTATGATAGTTGAAGACTTACGATACAACTTTGCTTTTTACAGCATTGCTTTTATTTTTTTTAATTTCCAAAAATTATCAAAAGAAAGAAATGCTACTGAATGTCACTGCTTGTGGAATGTGTCTCTGATTTGCATTTTTAAAAGCAAAAGTGGATTTTTAAGGAAAGAATAAAGGAGAAGGAAAATGAGAAGAGTGGTCTTCACTGTTCATGATTGGCAGGTTGTTGGAATGCAGTAGGAAAACTAAGCGACAAATGTCATGAGTCTTTAAAATTCAACTCTTTCTATTCAAAGGAAAAAGCCCTTACTAATATAAAATGCCCATTTAAAGACCAAACAATGGGTAAACCTTAGGGTATATGATTTGAAAACAAACTGTGTGCTGTTCCTCCTCCCACTCCCTAAATACATTTTTTTTAGAAATCAAATATTTTGTTTTTGAACTTTGGACAATTAAAATTTTTTTCTCAAATCTGTACATGTGACACACAAAATCCACTTCTCATGAAAAGCGGTATGAGTTTTGCATGTTTGCTTCTAATTTTATCACGCAGCTATTGATTTTCATTCATATTTCCTCTTGGATATCTATCACTGAAATAATTTTGTAGAAAAAATACATTTTGGTACATTTCATACAGTACTTTGGAAGAAACAATCACACATATGAGTTACAAAAAATTAAGAATGAATCATTTAGCCATCTTTAATAAGTACTAAACCAACATTTTCCTGTCTCTAATATGTTTTAAACTTCTGCAAGTCCCAATTTTCTTTTTAAAGGAAAACATAGTACCAAACAAGATGCAGCTTTCGAGTCCAGAGTAACTATATATACAAATGTTTATCTCCAAAATTAGATAGAATGCATGATTCAACACATATCTAATTTAAAGTATTAAGCTATTCATACATGTAATTAGCAAACGTAAGATTCTTCAAGATACTTAACCTTTAATATATATTCTGCATGTTTAGCCACAAGGAAGAAAAAACTTTTTTTAACTTAGTTATAAAAATCCTATTTTGGAAAGATTCAAAAGCTGAGAACTATTTAAAGTGTAGTAAGATACTATATGACAGTAACTGATAGGCTCTAGATGGCAGTGAAGTCGGAGGGAAGGGATCTCACAGGCGCAGTTGTTTGAGGACTCTGTTCCTCGCACACCACAGCTACATACACTCCTCCAAGACACCCAGACTCACGCTGCCCTCCACAAACACATTCTAGTGCTGCCAAGTCACTAAGCCACAGGCACCTACATTACTGATTTGTTCCTGCGTCCTCTTCAGCCGCTGCAATTCCGGAGTGTCTGTCACGATGCTGAAGCCCCTCCCTTTGCTTTCTTCAAAATCTCTTTTGTACTTGACCTAAGAAGGAGGAGGAAAATAAAAGGGGAGAAAAATGGAAAAAGAAAAGTAAATAGATGATGAATCACAAATCCCATCCAGCAAGAGCCCAAAAACATGCTAGGATTGGAAGCAATGCCCACAATCACAGATCTCAGCAAGAGGGACCCTGAAACTTAGCAGCACATAGCCAGGCCACCTGGTTTATGACCCAGCAACTCCACCTCCTATCTGTGCAATCTCAGGCAAGTTACTTCATCATTCTGGGCCTTAGTGGTCTCATCTGTCAAACGGTGACAACAACAGAAGTGATATAATTGGTTGTAGGGGTAGAATCAAATGATTCCACGCATGTACGTGGCTGATGGGAAAAGGTAAGTACTTTGTAATAGTTATCATCATCCTCAATATTAACACTATTACTGCTACTAAAGAAGAGGAAAAGTGGGAAAAACAAAGTTAAATCTTCTCCCCGCAGGGCCTGTCTTGTCAATGACGAAGCATTGTCCTGAGCTTGAACTGCTCTCTGAAGAAGGGACACAAACAAAATCAACAGTCCTGTACCTAAGTTCTTCTCACTCTAGCTCATAAGGCAAAGCATATGGACACTATTACACAAAGCCACACCGCCAGATGGCGAGTACATAATTCTTATGAAAATATTTATAAAATAAGCCACACCTCGGGACTTAAGAAGCCTCTAACACATGCCCTTGGCAGAGTGTATGCCGAGGTACCTATGATTTTCTTCCCAGTGTTTTGATCCACTTTCTTCCTAGTAACAGCACAGTAAGGTCGAATTTTACTGAAATTTACTGGGACGGTCATTGCTTCATCCTACTGGGTCCCATCTCATGTTACTAGCATAACAGCTAAATATTGTGCCTGTTAATGACTGAGACAGTCGTATCACTTTGTTCTTATTTTCTTAAGCCTAAATATCAAGAAGTATGGAAACAGATTTTGATGGCAAAAGAATCCCCCTTTTAAGTTCAGAATTACAGGGCTCAAACTGACACTCAAAAGTAAACTTATGGGGCCGGGGTTATGGCTCAGTGGTAGAGCCCTTGCCTGCATGCGTGGGGCCCTGGGTTAGATCCTCAGCACCACATAAATAAATAAAATAAATGAACTGTGTCCATCTGCAACTAAAAAAACTAATAATAATAATAAAGCAACTTATAAAAAAACGAGATTCTGTAAGTGAAGATTCTGTATAAGTTTGAAAAGTTCACTTAGGAGATCATGGAGCAACTTTTTTTGTTGAGCACATCTGTACTTAAATACTCAATTTGTAACGGTAGTCCACTTTATGCCTTGAATATAGCCCTTGCTGCTCTGCCACAGCAACCTATTTTTAAAAGGGACATGTAGAAAAGATGGTGGAATGAGATGACATCATTACCCTAGGTATGTGTATGATGACACAACCAGAGACATGAAACATTGTGGTCCATTTGTGTACTATGAATTGAAATGCATTCTGCTGTCATGTATAACTAATTAGAATAAATACATAATTAAGGGATATATTTCTTTTTCTTCCTCTTTCCCTCTCCCTCCCTAATCTCTCCTCCCCTAGATCTTGGGGAAAACAAGATTATCTTTCTTCCCCATTCTAGGCAAGTTATCTATCCCTGAATCCAGACTTTGGGGATGGCACCAGAAGATCTCAGAAATGACTATCTTCCAAATTAACAAGTGAATTACAACTCCAACAGTGAACATGTGGAAAGTAACCTTTGAACCACCTCTTTAAAAGCCCCCTGCTCCCCCTGAGGCGCAGAATCACAACCTCTGGGACAGGAGTCCCCTATGCTTCTCCTTTGCTAACAAAGCAAGAAAGCTTTTTCCTTTTTGTCAAAATCACATCCTCATCATTAGATTGGCATCGGGGGACAAGAACTGAGCTTCCGCAACTAAAATACTAAAACACTTACTTTATTCCCATAAATAAAAGGTCCAATAAATTGCAATATTTTTATTCCAGAGAAAATGCTGAGTTGAGCCCTCTAACCTTCAATCTCCCGCCACGTGTGAAGACACAAACACTGGCACTTTCTCAGAGTTTTATGCCTAACTAAGCAGAGAAGCCATTTAGCTTGACTGGTAATAAGCACCAGCGTGCAGGGCCATAAAATAATAAAAGTAAGAAAGATGACAAGATTGTGCTGGCGGTGTTAGAGAACAGATAGATATGGATGGTGAGAACAGGAGGTTAAGGGAATAATTCTATAAAATGGGCCCACACTGCTGAGCCCCACATGCTTTCTTTTCCAAGAAGCAATTTACCTGCAACCCTGCCTGGCCTAAGTGGACAGGTTATGACACGTTCTTCAGCAACCTACCTGTCACACTGCAAGAGAAATGCAGGCCCCAAATAATGTTGATAAGAGGAACCCAAGTTATCCTGAAGGAGGAGACTTTTTGTGACTAGATCCTGAAAATCTGGAGTTAAGGATAATTCCTCCTAATCATATAAATCTGTAAGAACATATGGTTAAGAATCCAATTAGAACTGGTCGGCATAGGTCAAGGCAACGTAAAGTTGCCATGACTGTGGGGATTTGAAAGTCTGATGTCACTCTGCTGTCAGTCAAAAGTCAAGAGGTGGTTGTGGGTGGGACTCTCTGTAAACTTCTCTGGGATCCCCAATAAAACTAGAATGCAGAAGAGGCACATTGTCCCTCTCCTCTCTGAGAGGACCCACTCTCTCCCTTGAGAGTGTCCCCTTTTCCTTTTCCTATCCCTGTAATAAACTCATTCCTGTTACTCTCAGCAACATGTCTGAAATATTTCTGACTTGTTTGCAAGAATTGGGGTTTGAAGAGGGGGTCTTTTCATTGCCTCAGTTTCTCAGAAGGACCCAGCTCTGTGATGGCAGCAGACATGGAAATATAAGAAGAGTCTATCAGACAAATCTTAACATCCCTAAAGCCAGTTTCAGAGAAAGCACCATCACGTATTCTTTTTGATATCTGTTTCACCTTTTAAAACAGTAATGTGCAAAGAAAGAGGAAAAAAAGAAAAAAACACATTCAATTCTAGAATCACAATTTGGAGCAGACTACCATTTGGCAATCCTTGCCACATTCATGAGACACATGAGAATCCTTTGATTTGGGCTTGCTTAGATAAGTGACTAGTTTTGAAAAGTGTAAAATGATCTCTATAAATGGTTCACAGCATTCTAAAAGATATTTATTCCTTTTCAATGGTGTGGTACATAACCAAACCTCATGTGCTCAGTACCAACCCACCAGCATTTCTTTATGACATGGGATAGGAGCCTTGGAGTCAGCTGTCTTTTCCATACTCCCACCCACTGACACCCTATCTACAAAGCCTTGGCTCATCAGAGTTGCTCAATAAATGTTTCTGAAAGTGAAGGGAGAGAAAGAGAAAGAAGGAGAGAGAGAGAGAGAGAGAGAGAGAGAGAGGAGGAGGATCTGAAGCCAAGAGGGAGGGACTGCTTGTCAGATCTACAAGTAAGAGAGGAAATTCATACTTAGGAAATGGAAAATGGCTCCACTTGGCTGGAACATCTGGTGGAAAGGGGGATTCTGG